CCGTCCATCCCTCAGGGACGGGGGCTCCAGCGCCGCCGGGTGTGAGGGAAGCAGCTCCGCGGAGAGCTGGGTGGATGGTTTGCAGCCCGGCAGACCTCAGCCTTGTCCCAGGAGACGGTGCGGTGGCTCCCGAGGGCGGTTCAAGGAGAACAGAAGGGAGCCCGGGGAGGTTTGGCCCTGTCAGGAGGAGGAGGATTTGGCCTCCCTTCAGACTGGGTAGGAATAGCTGCTCTTTGTATGCTAGGGAAGCAGAACCAAAAGGAACTCAAAATATCACACAAAGGTTTCTGGGTACGAACAGCTGCTCTTTGTATGCTAGGGAAGCAGAACCAAAAGGAACTCAAAATATCAGACAAAGGTTTCTTTACGATCGCTTTTGTGATCTTTTTCAACCAGCTGGTGAGTGGGATCCAGGCAGCCAGTTCCTGCAGGACCAGGAATACACCCGAGCAAATGGAGGAAAACCCTGGCCCCGTTTGGTCCAGAAGAAGCTTTGCCTTGATCTTCGGTAGACCAGTGTTTTGCCTTCAGCAGCTGGGTGGCACTTCATAGGAAGGGATTTCTCTTGACTGTTGGACAGACCAACCCATTTCACTGTCAGGATACTGCTCCGGATGCTCCGCACACGTTTTCCTCTTTCCACTTGCTCAGTTTCACCCAGTCGTAAATTATCCAAAATGTTCTCACAGATTTTAACCTGTGGAGTAATAAGTTGTTCTATATGTGCCTTCATCGCCCCGCTTGTCTATGACAAATGCGATTTGTATGTGGAAGTACAGCCTTAAGAAATAAATCGCTCTATCTCTTGGTTTCGTGATATGCTGCCTTGAGCTGTTTTTCTCCTATTTTCTCCTACTTTCCTTTCTCTGTCATGCATCTTCCTTGCACTTAGGTCCCTGCGGTTTGAAAAGCATCGCTTCTCACTTTGGTGACTGTCACTGTGCTCCTCTTCCTCAGCGCCGCAGCCTTTCCAGCTGTTTTGTCACAATTCGTGCTCTTTAATCTTCCTTAAATGGGTTACCCTTCTGTGCAGGTGATGTGACAACCTTTGCAAGCAAGAGGAGTTGTCTGACTGTACAACAGGCATATTCCAATGATTTAAGAAATTAAAAATACTGCTCCATGACCCAAATACTTGGATGGTTTTGCCTCTGAAGAGCTTATTGACAGTTTGGTGGGTGTTGTGCACATCGGAGAAGCAGCCTGTGTGTATTCACAGTGAATGGCTTACGGGTGAAATGCATTGCTGTTGATTGCAGCTAATGTGCTAAAGTTAACCTTCCCCCTGGGGAGGGTTACAGCATGAGTACCCCTGGGGGCTGTGGGATCCCCAGACCCTCTGCCGTTGAGGTTTTTGCCCGGGGGTTCCTGTCCAGCGTGGGGAGTGTGAGCACCCTCTCTGCTGTGGAGGCAGCGGGTGCAGTATTTGGTGTGGATTCGGCATGCGCTGATTTCACAAACGTATGCTGTCCTGCCTGGGGACCAAGGCGAGTCCAGGTTGAGGTTGGACTCGATGATCTTAAGGGTCTTTTCCAACATAGATGATGATAAATTCTATGATTCCATTCTAGGTCATCTGGCGTTTGTGGTGGCCGGCACAGAGCAGCCCCTATCAGCCTGTGAGGTTGGTTGAGACACAGTGCCATGTCCCCAGGCAGCTGTGCTGGGAACTGGGGGGGCGGGGGGACACGCTGTTCCAGGCTCTCCTTGCTGGCAGTTACGTGTCGGTTGTCTGTGCTGTGGAAATGCGTGTGTCGGTGGATTTTGTCATTGTTGGTCTTCTCCTCTTCCAGTGTTCATCTGGCCTGCCAGCATATTTCTCCGTGGACATGTTCTCCTGTGTCTGTGGGCAAAGCTGCCTCTTGCCTTCCCCAGAGGCAGGAGGTTTCCCCTTGCTGCCGGTGCGCCGTGACTGTGCACAGGAGTAGTGCTCGGTGTCTGGTGCCTTCTCTGTGAAAGCATTTGCTTTCAGAATTGCCTGGCGGTGCTCTTTTCTTTCTCCATGAAGAGCTCCTCTTGCTTTCTTCTGTTAGGCAAGCAGCTCATGAGTGAGAAGAACATCAGTTTCCAACACCTTTTTTAAGGAAGGAGTGGTGACGGGTCTGATGAAGGGGTGACAGTGAGTGTGCGGAAATGCAGGAACGGGGGTGTGGGGGGGTGTGTCTGTGTGTGCTGGCTGTGAGTGTCCGGTGGCACATCCCGATAAGGCACAGGGAGGTTGAGTTGTTCCAGGGCTGGGTCTAGATGTCCCAGCTTTTCCCATTTCGTGAGTGGGGCATAAGACATCTGCCTGTGGCGACTGCTTTGTGGCTGAAGGCAAGTCCTTCCTTTCAGAGGTGTATGTAACCTAAATGTGAGCATCTCCTTTTACACACACAAATCATTTCTTCGGTGCCTAATTAAGGCCTCAGGGGTCGGATATCCAGTGGTGCTTAAGAGATAACTACACTCAGTGGGAGCTATTGTGAACATTAAATGGCGTGGAATAACAGTGACCCAGAAAAGTCAAATCACAAATATCTCAAGTTATGCAAAATTACATCAAGTTTTTAGAGGAGAAGTGGGGGAGGAGTGGTGGTGTTGTTTCAGCCTTAGTTTTGCCCTTAGTAAGTTTTGCCCTTATAATATCTTATTCTCAGCTCTCAGTAAAATACAGATTGTGAATATTTTCCTTTCAGAAATGTGAAATGAGATGAAATGGATCCACTCTCTTTATTTAACAGGATTTGATTCACAGCAGAACAAATTAGCTGGAAAACATTGCTCAGAGGACTGGCATAGTTCTGGTGAATGTTAATGTGTTACAGGGATTATGCGAGGTAAGAATATACTGGAATCCGCAAATACTCACTTGAACTTCCTTATTGTTTAGGTGCCTATTTATGCAGGGAAATGCTTATTATGATATTACATGTATATAATATTAATGATGCTGAGAATAATAATAAATTATGATCTATTACTATATGGATATATTAATATATTGTTCACTACTATATTGTATTATAATCCCGATTATAGGTATTGAGATTTGTATTTTCTCTGGAAGGTACACTTAACTTTTTTTTTTTTCCAAGTGAGGGCTTTTCTTAACAAATTCACTTTGTTCATCGTTGGTTTTGCATTTTTTTCTTTGATTGCCTTAAAATTTCACAGAAAATTCGATTTTGCCTAATTATAATATCTGCAAGTTGCAAGCCCTGATCTACAAGCAAAAGGAGGCCTGTCGAACCTGCTTCTGCGGGCCCTCATAAATCCACCTGAAGAGCATAAGCGAGAATTATCAGATGAAGAAGAGAGATGTGCACGTACATTTTTAAGCAGTGATGATGTTTTATTTGCCATGTTAGTGCGAAATGTCACACGTTGGTGATGCGTGCACTCCTTTAGTGCACAGTCAGTGAAGTCGGCTTAGCGTGTTGAGAGAGGGGGCGTCCTACAAACAGATACCTTGGCAGACGTGTTGGAGGGATTGATGTGAGATGGTGGTGTCCGTAAGGTCCTGCTTTGTGTGTACCTCATGATGTTCTCCTTGCCGTTTCCAAGAGCGGTCTCCACGGTGCTGGAGGTGATGGGAGTGTTCTGCTTTTTCACTGTGGCTATGCCTTCGTAGCCTCTATTTCTGGATTCAGTAATAATAATCACCATTTAAGGCCCACACAGGACACATTATCTTAAGCCTTCAGGTGTGAGCCAGTTGTCCACTAATCTGAATCATACTGTTGCCCTGTATTCTGAGACCTCGCTGCCAAAACAGAGCGTTTCAACTATGGCATTGCCATATTTCTTGGCTCTAGTTCCACCTGAGAAGCAGGAAGCCCCCTCTGCCTAGGCGGTACCGTGCAGCAGTTGCTGGGTGGTGTGTGATGAGCAGGGCTGTGTTTGTAAGTATTGAAACAAATCTGTGTTTCAAAAGAACGAGCAAGCGCAGACGGAATGACATGTGCCTGGCGTGGTATTTAGTGCCTACAGCATAGATGTGTTCCCTTGAGCTAGCTGTTCATACTCCTCTTACAGGCAGTGGAGAGGCGTGCACCTCTCAGAGATGCTGCCCCAAGAAGGGATGGCTGACATCCAGGAAGCGTCTGCTTCTCTCATAAGGATGAACACAGTTATTGC